AATGAAAATATACAAAACTATAATTTTGCCGGTGGTTCTGTGTGGGTGTGAAACTTGGTCTCTGACATTAAGCGAGGAACATAGACTGAGGATATTTGAGAACAGGGTGTTGAGAATATTTGGACCGAAGAGGGATGAAGTGACAGGAGGTTGGAGAAAACTGTATATTGAGGAGCTTCATAACTTGTACTCCTCTCCAAGTATAATTAGAATTATCACGTCAAGAATGATGAAATGGATAGGCCATGTAGCACGAATTGGGGAGAGGAGAAATGAATATAGGATATTGATGGGAAAGCCTGAAAGAAGGAGACCATTGGGAAGACCAAGGCATAGGTAGGTGAGCAATATTGAAATGGATCTCTGAGAGATAGAATGGTATGGTATGGATTGGATTGATCTGGCTCAGGATAGGAACTATTGGAGGGCTCTTGTGAACATGGTAATGAACCTTTGGGTTCCGTAAAATATTGGGAAATTCCTGAGTAGCTGCAGATTTGGCTTCTCCTCAAGAAGGGTTCAGCTCCATAAGTAAGTAAGTAAGCATGTAAGTAAGCATTGCGTAAGGCTAGCCTGAGCTCTGTATAACTGTACCTTGATGACCAATACTGTTAAGGCTATTCAGATTATAAAAATTTCTTGTTAAGGTAACAAGGAACAGAGGGAGGATTTCCGTGTGAGTTTGTCCTCTGGGCGCTCTTTGAGTTCCCCTTCAAAGTATAAGTTTTCAAGGCTGCTGGAAATATCTTCCGCTGGCATGTCTATGAGGAGGGTGACAGATTACTGTCTTGATAGGCTTTTCAGAATTTGGGGAGAAGGTAAAATGGTGGAGATTATTTTTCTCAAATTATGATTTCGTAGCTGAACAATCCGCAATATAGTTTGTCATGATACGGGTGCTATTTAATATATTTCAGAACTCGTACTCTCCTTTGACATGTTCTTTTAAAGTCATTTTGGAGTCAAATTTAGGTTTGTGGTAGAAGTCATTATTGGTGGCAGCCTACCTGGTTTCCTGGAAGCCTTCTGCTCTGGTAGAGTGTTCACTGCTCCAGTAGTCTCCATGTCCATGTCACTTCTGAGAGGTGCAAAAAATTTGCGACTTAACACAGCTTTTGGTGGCAGCTTGAGAGCTGTGGATGTTGGGACTGGTTTAGTCGACTTCTTGGCTGTCTCCTAGGTATTGTAAGAAGTATGTTTTTGTGGCTCTTTACTTGCTGGAAGTCGTCATCCTGGACTGTTGAATCCACTGAGGTTATGTTCACTGCACCACTTTGACCTTCCTGTGCACTTACCTTCAGTTCATTCAGTGTTACCATGTACATTATGTAAAGGGCTCTAAAAACCAGCTTCCCATCCAGAGCTTTACAAAAGTTTGCTCTGTTCTCCTCCACACTATTCACAGTAGAGGTCCACTCAGCTTCCCTCCACTTTAGCTGGTGTGCATCCAGCAAGGTTCTCAATGTCACTGAGTACTTTATGTACTTGTAGCATTACAGAAGCTTCTGTGTATTTATTTGTGATGGCATTACATTCAAATTTCAGCTTCTGATGCTAGCTTCTGTGTCTGGTATATCTGGAATCCCGTTACTGGGATGTCCACCATCTTGGTGCACACTCAAGTTCACCACACTGTTCATTATTCTCACTAACTCTAACTGCAACAGTTTAACTTCTCTTATCTCCTCTCCATCACTATAGTAGACGCTGTTTGAGTTTGCTTTAATCTTCACTGTTTGTTTCTTGGCAACAGCGGAGAAGAGAACAGCACGTGTGTTGTGAGCACATTTCATTTGTATATCAGAGTATTAATGCTGTATGTTTCCTTTATTAAATTTCAACGTCCTGTTGAAATCATTGATTGTACCGCTGAGTGAACTTTTACTGAGAGTACAGGCTGTATTAGCATGAAAGTGGTTAATGGGTATTGGTCCATTGCTGTATGATGGGTTCTGTGAACCAAATGGAAAGGGATGAATGAGTGAAAATGTGGTTCAGTAGATAACTTGATGTAAGGAAGATAAGAGAAATGGCCCTATGTGCTCGATGATTTGCTTCTCCAAAATCAGGGCAGGCCATGCTTTTTTGTAAGTTGCAATGTATTGCCAAAATATCATGGCCCTACAAGGTAAAGGAGTTTTGAATCAGTCCTCATTCATACAATTAGAATCCCATAGAGGATAACCCTTCTTAAGAACGTCACAGTCACTTGGTTAATCAGTATATTACAGACTATTAATGGAGCAGGAGATTTCATTACCATATTTGCAAGTGACTGCCAGTGGCTTGTACTCTGAACCAGATGAATCCAGTTGACATATTCAGACCTTATTTCTGTAAGTTACATTAACTGTAGTATTGTTCTCCCATTTAAATCTAGTCCTTCCAAGTAATCTCTTTCTTACAGATTTCCCACCTAAGATTTTCTGTGCATCTCTCATCTCTGTCATGTGTGCTACTGTCCCTGATCATCTCCTCATTAGTAGACCTAAACAGATATGTTATACATATATTATTTATATTTTATATAAAATGTGATTTGGGAAAAGAGTTGAACTTGGCTTGAAATTGCAAAAAGTGGATGTTATAAAACACTTTCTGATTGAATCCCTCTCTGATCAATAATCATTACCATAAAATAAATAATACTAACGTATCACCCACCTTTATGCTGTCTGAAGAGACCTAAAAGTGTGCATGGTGGGCAGCTGAGGGTAATTCAAATGTGTGGTGTGCATACATTCTTCAATAGAAATTTATATATATAGTTTTGCAGGTTCATCTTAAGTTAAATTTGAACACATTAAATAGTGTATTTATTCTATATAATGTAAAAAATTGAGTTCATACCTCAGAGGAAACTCATTATGTCTCTGCTACAGAGATCAATTGGTTAATGTTGTATAAGGAAATAATTTTTGTTTTTTATGAGGATCATACAGAAAATACAAGTAGACTTTATGTGCAGAATGCAGAGTTTTAGAGTGTTAAATCAGAATGTTCATGTAGAATCAATGGGTAAAGATTGAAAGTAATCAGATATTCTTTGACAGGCCTTTTGACCTCTACTAATTCTGAATTAATTCTTAAGCAAAGAGGCTATCAGGCATGGCATAGGTATCGCTGAATGGGATAGGTTACTTTTTTAATCACACAAAGTTTTTATCCCAGTATTTGAAATGTATGGTACACAGAGCTGCTCATATTCGGGACTGCAGTTTTGGTTGTAGGAATTTCTTATGTGGTGTTTCTCACCTGTCTGAACACATTTATGTTTATAAGCAGGGCCCAGATTTTGATGATATGTCATCTTTTTTTCTTTCTGTAGTAAACGTTGCTTTTAAGTACTAAATCCCCGATTATGAACCTCTGGTTATAAAAATGTGAATTTTATTGTGCATTTTTTTGTCATATTTTGTATGTTTTAAGTTTTAGGTCATTTTTACAAGTTTTTATGTCATTTTTCGTCATTTTTTCACGTTTTACATCAATTTTGGTTATATTTCACGTTTTTAATAATTGACATTTATTGATCAAACTGAAGATATTTGATTCGTGAGGTAGAAATCTATGTTCTTCAAGTAAATTTTGTTTTGTATCTCTAGCCTCTGTCGCTAAATATAATAGATTTGTTTGTGAGAGGGCACATTATTTTTCTTTCTAAGCCGCCAGAGGTGCCGTTACTGTCCTGCGCCGCTTTCTAAGCCACTGCTATGTCATAAACTCATACAATTGATGCCTGAGAAATGTAGAGGGGTAGGTTTAAAGAGATGTCTGGGTGTCATAAAATCAAGAAATTGGAAACTAATTTACACAGTCCGCATCTACCCAATTTTAAGAAAATTTGGAAATTAGTTTTTAGGTCATTTTTTAAATATTTTTTGGTCATTTTATAGATAATTTTTCAGATATTTTTAGGCCATAAAAATCCGGGCCCTGTTTATAAGTAACATTCTCCAAATATTACTGCATATAAGCTCAGTATCATAAAAAGACACTAATAATTCCACATTCACTATTCATCCAATTAATTAATTCATTCAATTAATCGACAATTATTTACTTAAGCTGTTTAACATGGAACATTCTTCCAACCCATGTAGGTCTATATAGTTCACTAGTGATGCAAAAAGTAATTATTTTGAATTCAATCTCAAGAAATTAAAAGAGGTAGAGGGTAAAGAACAGGATGCATATAGAATAATGGTGGGAAAGCCAGAAGGAAAGAGACTGCTAGGAAGACTGAGATGTAGGTGGGTGAACAATATTAAGACTGATCTAAGAGAGATAGGATGGGTCTCTTGTGAACACAGTACTGAAACTTCGGGTTCCATAGAATGTTGGGAGGTTGTTGAATAGCTACACAACTGACAGTTTTTTTAAGAAGAGCTCAGCTCTGTGAAGTTAGTTAATTATTTTGAAATGCGAATAGTAAGTTACTTTGCCAGCTACTTCAATTTTATGGCTTCACGTCACTCACAGGTGTTACCGTCCTCCCTCTATCCTACGTTTGTGCTTCACTTATCACCGTCCTCCGTCTTCTCGTGGATGTCGAGAAGTTAGGTGGGAAGGGAGGAGAATTGTGATTGTTGGAGCTGGTACGCGAGAGCAGGTAAAGACGGGAGTATCTGGGTTCTGTTCTTCTGTACTTCATCAGTGGCTGAGCAAATTTCTCAGTGTATATGGGAAAAGAAATGAAACACTAACGAATAATGCTGGAGTTACACGCTTCATTAATTTGCGTGCTTTACACTCCTTATTTCCAAAATTCTTCTGATGATGATTAATCTTAAAAAGATTTTACTTCCTCCTACTAATGGAAGTTCACTATTGATGAGATAAAAGCCATCAGGGAACATAAGTCATAGTGGATCACTATTTGAAAGGAGGATTGAAGCATGTGCCATAGAGCTTGAAGGAGTTAATTATTATAAGCCTATAATTATTTGACTGATTTATCATTTTTACCCCTGTGTAAATCATATTTATCCTGCATTCAGGCTCGTGTGGTGACCAATGAGAAATGGGTTCATGTTATGGTAATAAAGGAAAATGAAGACTTGAAAGTGAAGGTAGCTGGAGAGGATCAAGTGATTCTTCAATATAATGATAGAGATCCTCTGCATCCTAAATTCCTAAATGTTCGGAGTGGAAATATTAATGCTTCCTTTCGAATCCAGAATTGTGAGTATGCTAATATCATGGTATCACCATTTAAATGTAGTTGTAATATTTTTTTTCCTTAGGACAGTTTACTTTGTCTTGGAGAATAGATTTTTTTATTATTACATATTACTTTTACACTGTAATGTTTGAAAATTTAACTGCCATGCCGTGCCACTGAGTGACTGACTGCATTTTCTGTACCTCCTCTCTTCAAGGAAATACCTGTTTGGAGATTAAAAATTGATCTCCATCATGAAATAACTCTCTCATTATCCTGGATCTGGAAGCAATATAGTAATCCAGATGAATGTATCTGGGATACAATACTCTGTAGTGTGGCATGTTGGTACCTACCCATTAGAAGTGTGTACTGTATATTGCGTTATAGAATATCAATTTCCAGTTTACAAGAGATTGATCTGACTCTTAAACCATTTTTCAGGCCAGCCTCATATCAGATAGTTACAAGCAACTATTTCCCTAGGGATAAAGTGGGCAAAGTTGTTTACAGCATAATGGATGTGTGAAAATGTATCTCCATGATATCCGTATCTTTATGATGGTGATAGTAATGGAGCTTCACTGTAATTGTACATTGTTATATACCGGGTATCCCAGGAGGAATGGACCAAACTTCGGGAGGGTGTTCCTTATGTTAAAGTATGCCAATATAACCCAAAACACCTATGTCCAAAGTTGAATGGTTACGGAGATAATGGCCAGAGAAGTATCAAACTTTGACTGGTTTTACACACTTGTTGATTACAAAATACATATTAAAACTGGCAGGAATATGTGGATTCTGTAATGTTAATAATGTATGTAACATCAAACTAACTTGTGTAACCGTTCATTCTGATTGGAGGACTGTTGTGTGTTAATTAAATCTGTATTAAGTTAAGATTACAAAATTACAAACAAAGAGATCTGTCAGATACACGCAGATACACAGATCTCTTACATGCAGAAGGGACATAGTTCAAGTTTTGCTATGTGGACAGGAAGTAACATCTGGTACTTTCCTGGAATTCTGGCAGTTTCAGCAAAGTCGGAAAGTCTTTGAGAATTTGAGAGCTGACAGCTTGGGACAGCTGTAACTTAGAAGTGGGATGGCTGGAGCCTCATACCCTGATCGTAATGCATCAAGGGGCTGTCAACCTTAGCGTCAGGTCAGCATCTGCCAGAATCACATATCAAAGCAACATGATTGGGAATTCAAAATTTAGGGAACCTCCTAGTTTGAAAACTTAACAAATGGCAGAAGTGGAGGAGTGGATTTATCTTGGAGTCTGGGGTTCGTGGACCTCAGGATTTAGAGTGAGGGCATTCCACCTCGAGGAGTCTTCATACAACTTTCTGCAAAGTCGGACACAAAATTTACAACTACGGCCCTTCTGTAAAAGTACTATAAGTAAAGTTCAAATTAAGTGTACTAATAAATTCAGTTGTATTCAGTGAGCCGGAGGGAATTATATGATTTCTAAGTGCAACGGTCTAAAGAGGTGTGTGTGATTGTAGTAAAAGGTTCTTCCTGCCCTGCCTGAGCCAGACCCGTATAAGAAACGGGATATGAACTCAGCTCTACAAATTACCGAACAGAACCCAGATACTCCCGTCTTTACCTGCTCTCGCGTACCAGCTCCAACAATCACAATTCTCCTCCCTTCCCACCTAACTTCTCGACATCCACGAGAAGAGGGAGGACGGTGATAAGTGAAGCACAAATGTAGGATAGAGGGAGGACGGTAACACCTGTGAGTGACGTGAAGACATAAAATTGAAGTACAAAACACTCGCTCGCCATGTCATAATTGTCCTTAGAGTTTCCAAGCACTATACATGACNTCTGTACTTCATCAGTGGCTGAGCAAATTTCTCAGTGTATATGGGAAAAGAAATGAAACACTAACGAATAATGCTGGAGTTACACGCTTCATTAATTTGCGTGCTTTACACTCCTTATTTCCAAAATTCTTCTGATGATGATTAATCTTAAAAAGATTTTACTTCCTCCTACTAATGGAAGTTCACTATTGATGAGATAAAAGCCATCAGGGAACATAAGTCATAGTGGATCACTATTTGAAAGGAGGATTGAAGCATGTGCCATAGAGCTTGAAGGAGTTAATTATTATAAGCCTATAATTATTTGACTGATTTATCATTTTTACCCCTGTGTAAATCATATTTATCCTGCATTCAGGCTCGTGTGGTGACCAATGAGAAATGGGTTCATGTTATGGTAATAAAGGAAAATGAAGACTTGAAAGTGAAGGTAGCTGGAGAGGATCAAGTGATTCTTCAATATAATGATAGAGATCCTCTGCATCCTAAATTCCTAAATGTTCGGAGTGGAAATATTAATGCTTCCTTTCGAATCCAGAATTGTGAGTATGCTAATATCATGGTATCACCATTTAAATGTAGTTGTAATATTTTTTTTCCTTAGGACAGTTTACTTTGTCTTGGAGAATAGATTTTTTTATTATTACATATTACTTTTACACTGTAATGTTTGAAAATTTAACTGCCATGCCGTGCCACTGAGTGACTGACTGCATTTTCTGTACCTCCTCTCTTCAAGGAAATACCTGTTTGGAGATTAAAAATTGATCTCCATCATGAAATAACTCTCTCATTATCCTGGATCTGGAAGCAATATAGTAATCCAGATGAATGTATCTGGGATACAATACTCTGTAGTGTGGCATGTTGGTACCTACCCATTAGAAGTGTGTACTGTATATTGCGTTATAGAATATCAATTTCCAGTTTACAAGAGATTGATCTGACTCTTAAACCATTTTTCAGGCCAGCCTCATATCAGATAGTTACAAGCAACTATTTCCCTAGGGATAAAGTGGGCAAAGTTGTTTACAGCATAATGGATGTGTGAAAATGTATCTCCATGATATCCGTATCTTTATGATGGTGATAGTAATGGAGCTTCACTGTAATTGTACATTGTTATATACCGGGTATCCCAGGAGGAATGGACCAAACTTCGGGAGGGTGTTCCTTATGTTAAAGTATGCCAATATAACCCAAAACACCTATGTCCAAAGTTGAATGGTTACGGAGATAATGGCCAGAGAAGTATCAAACTTTGACTGGTTTTACACACTTGTTGATTACAAAATACATATTAAAACTGGCAGGAATATGTGGATTCTGTAATGTTAATAATGTATGTAACATCAAACTAACTTGTGTAACCGTTCATTCTGATTGGAGGACTGTTGTGTGTTAATTAAATCTGTATTAAGTTAAGATTACAAAATTACAAACAAAGAGATCTGTCAGATACACGCAGATACACAGATCTCTTACATGCAGAAGGGACATAGTTCAAGTTTTGCTATGTGGACAGGAAGTAACATCTGGTACTTTCCTGGAATTCTGGCAGTTTCAGCAAAGTCGGAAAGTCTTTGAGAATTTGAGAGCTGACAGCTTGGGACAGCTGTAACTTAGAAGTGGGATGGCTGGAGCCTCATACCCTGATCGTAATGCATCAAGGGGCTGTCAACCTTAGCGTCAGGTCAGCATCTGCCAGAATCACATATCAAAGCAACATGATTGGGAATTCAAAATTTAGGGAACCTCCTAGTTTGAAAACTTAACAAATGGCAGAAGTGGAGGAGTGGATTTATCTTGGAGTCTGGGGTTCGTGGACCTCAGGATTTAGAGTGAGGGCATTCCACCTCGAGGAGTCTTCATACAACTTTCTGCAAAGTCGGACACAAAATTTACAACTACGGCCCTTCTGTAAAAGTACTATAAGTAAAGTTCAAATTAAGTGTACTAATAAATTCAGTTGTATTCAGTGAGCCGGAGGGAATTATATGATTTCTAAGTGCAACGGTCTAAAGAGGTGTGTGTGATTGTAGTAAAAGGTTCTTCCTGCCCTGCCTGAGCCAGACCCGTATAAGAAACGGGATATGAACTCAGCTCTACAAATTACCGAACAGAACCCAGATACTCCCGTCTTTACCTGCTCTCGCGTACCAGCTCCAACAATCACAATTCTCCTCCCTTCCCACCTAACTTCTCGACATCCACGAGAAGAGGGAGGACGGTGATAAGTGAAGCACAAATGTAGGATAGAGGGAGGACGGTAACACCTGTGAGTGACGTGAAGACATAAAATTGAAGTACAAAACACTCGCTCGCCATGTCATAATTGTCCTTAGAGTTTCCAAGCACTATACATGACACATGACTGGCAATCGCTGACGCAACGTGGCTGACTGCTCTATAAGCCGACCACATAACTGTATTAAACGTACATTCAC